TTATATTTAGGGTAACCAGAGTAGGGGGACACATGTTTGGTGGGAAATGGATCAATTTTTGCGGTGCCCTTTCCCCAGAGGGCACTCGCTCTGCAAATCCCCTCCATCATTTCAGGTGACCCCAAGCCCAAGTGCCAAGGCAAGGAACAGGAAGGTTACCTTGGACCCCAGTGTCCCAGTGGTTTAAAGGCTGCTTCCATGGCCTCCATACCTCCCAGTTGATGAGGTGACGTGATAATGAGGTAGTAATTCATTTTTCTGTATTTCACAAAGTTTTGATTTTTATTGTACCAATAGTGCCTCTCTCTGCACAGTCAGTGGTGCCTGAATACTTGTATCTCCCTTTGCAGTTTAACATCTGGATAGAAACAAAAGCCATCCCTGACAGCATTAACAACAGATGCTCTTTACTTAAGCAGGGATTAAAAATGCTCCTAAAAGAATATATAAAATAAATTCTGTGGTGATCCATTCTTCTGATTGGGGTTAAAACAGAGCAAAAATGCAGGAACATTAATATAAAAGTAGACTGTCTTGGAAATCACAGTTGTACTGAATAAAAGGACTAAAAGAAATGGTTGACCTTTCCTCCCCCAAGGAAAACCTGCATTTTTCTTGGTTTTCTTCTCCTAGCTCCCCTTTTCTGATGGAGAAAGCCTCCTATTCCTCAAAGTGGGCACACTACGGTTACGAGGGCAGGGACAACCCTGTCATGCCCTCCTGAGAGCCCTTAAGGGGCCAGTGCACAGGAGGCTAATTCTTACTCAGAATTATAATTGACTCCTGTGCTTATAGTGAGTTCTACTGAATCATAGAATCATAGAATCAGCCAGGTTGAAAGGGACCTCCGAGATCATCAAGTCCAGACCTTGGTCCACTACCACCAGGGTTGCTAGACCATAGCACTAAGTGCCACATCCAGTCTCATTTTAAAAACCTCCAGGGATGGACAATCCAACACCTCCCTGAGCAGCCCATTCCCATGCCTGATTACCCTCTCTGTAAAGAATTTCTTCCTAATGTCCAACTTAAACCTCCCCTGGCAGAGCTTAAGACCATGCCCTCTTGTCTTACTGATAGCTGCCTGGGAGAAGAGACCAACCCCCACCTGGCTACAGCCTCCTTTCAGGGAGTTGTAGAGAGTGATGAGGTCTCCCCTGAGCCTCCTCTTCTCCAGGCTGAACACCTCCAGCTCCCTCAGCCTCTCCTCATAGGACTTGTGCTTGAGTCTCTTCACCAGCCTTGTTGCTCTTCTCTGGACCCGCTCAAGCACCTCAATATCCTTCCTGAACTGAGGGGCCCAGAACTGGACACCGTACTCCAGGTGTGGCCTCACCAGTGCTGAGTTAAATTTTGTAAGTGTTAAATTAATCAATGGTTAAGGGCTCTTAAACCTTTAAATATAGACCATTAATCAAGTCTGAGGCTGAGTCTGGACACAGCTGCACCCAGGAGTTTAGAAAGTGAGGGGGTCCTTACCAAGCAAGTTCTAGGCACTTTTCTTTAAATTACATTTTGCAAGAAAGACCTAAAAAATACTGAAGAGGATTAGCTCCAAGCACAAGCACACACAAGTCTACAGCTTCACGTCCTGTAGGGGGACTTCCATGAGGTCTGGCACAGATCCTGCAGCCACACACATATGATGGTGCTGTTGACTCAAACACTCATATAGGACTGAGACAAAATGAGGCAGTGTGAGTTGGGACATGCCATGATCAACCTTCGTTTTATGCTTTCACAGGCTGTAGCCCTCCGCATTGCAGCCTGTGCAGCATATATTCTTCAGACAATAATCACCTGGCAACTCCACAGATCCTGGACAGTCTACGTTATTGGGGGGTTTGTGTTATTGTTGTAGTGGTTTTAGAAATGCAATTTGCATGACCTAAACACCAAGGAATCAAGTGTTTCTTTGGGCAGGTTGTGTCGTCTTCTCCAGTGCAGATTTCAATACTACAAGAAGGCTGGAGGACTGTTCAAAGAAGTACCACAACTGTCAGACAGTGTAGCATCCACAACTCTAATCCCTTTGCCTACCCTGGATTTCAGCTATTACTCAACTATCTGTATGGGTCAGACATTTTTAATGGAAGATTTGTATGTCATTGGAGGCAAAAGTATGAAATGGCAGTAGACATGTAGGGCAATGGCTGCATATTGCATGCAAGCAGTTGCTTCTCTAGGTGATGCACTGTACTTTTAAGGCCTGAGAGGCTCACACAATGTGACACACCATAATACTGTGACAGTATCATGAGGGCTGTGGTGTACCAAGAGTTTAAGATTACTGTAGATGTCCTGCCAGCCAGCCTTGAGAAGACATGCTCCAGGAGAGGAGCAGAAGGCCCATGCAGGGATAGGAGAGAGCAGCATAGGCAAGTACCACCCTCCATTCACAGTCTGTCCCCCTCCACCCAGATCCCTGGGCTGCTCCCACTGGTATGAAATACTTCTGTAAGATACAGTCTTGGAAACACAGTAGGAAAAAACAGGAGGCCTTTTCCCCTCCCATTTTTTCCCATCCTTCTCTTCTTTTCATTCTTTCTTTCATTCTTCCTGTCTTTTTTCACTTTTTTTCATTCTTTTCCTTTCCCTGTTAACTCCTTGAAGGATTTTAGAAAGGAGAGGTAGTACTGGCAACCACTGTTTCTTTTCAAGAGTTCAAACTGAAGTACAAGAGTTTATGAAGGTTGCTCGTGGCACACGCCACTTCAGGATGCCTCAACCTTGTCTCAGTTCCACATTAGCACCTATAGCCAGAAGTGGCAGCTGCTACAGGGCAGCAACAGCTAACAAACCAGGTAGAGGTGCCGCTGAGAGCTGTTAGTGCACACGAACTGCTTTGAGATGGCTTTTGTATCAGAAGAAGTGCAAATGTAGCAATTTGAACTTAATTTTATTCTTGACAGTTTGAGATGTCATTGAAGTGAAGATGCCCCAGTGATGGGAGTTCTCTGCTCTCCAACAGGCCTCGAGTGAGAGTTTAGGCTGCTTGTGTAGGTTGGCTGAGCAAACTGGTGTTCGAGCAACCTCCTAGACTGTTAGCACATTCTTCACTTAAGGGAACAAAACCCATAATAAGTCACGACAGTGACTGTTTAGCATGTGCACGTCGCTCTTTATGTTCAGTACCTGAAACAACTCTAGTCCTGGTCACTCAAACGCACACTGTGTGTGTTTCATCGAGAAACAGCCTCAAAGGTGGGGCTGAAGACATGAGACATGGCTTCATGGGATGCCTCAGCCACCCCTTTCTGACCTGGAAAGGTCAGAGCAGAGGATTGCAACTGTTCACTTCTTTATAGGTTTAGGCTTAAAAATCTGTAAATCTCTGTTTCTGTAACAGCATCTTCTGCACACAGTTCGAACTCTTCTCTTTTCACTCAGTTATCCCTTGGAGAATATGAATTTTTATAACAATGGTGGAAATGCCCCCAACAGATACAGCCCCTCATCTGGGTAGGGGGGATTACTCAGAACTGGCTTCTGTGTGGTGCAAAACAGCACACTGATCTTGTTTGGCACATCTGTTTGCTATTTCACAAGCCATAAAAATACAACAATTGGGAATCCTCCTCAAAAATAAAAGCCCAGGGAATAATTTTTAGAGTACCGAGAAAATACAATGAGCATTAGAGCAGTACACAGCTAGCTGGAATTGATTTTGTGGCATTTATGGCCATACATTTAGAGGTAATTCCTAAAGGACATATTTACTCAGAATTAATGCAAGAATGCAGTCACAAACTTGTTGCTTTGGAAGGAAGACAGCTAATTACAGAGTACAAGCATAGGGCAAGGAACCTTCCTTTTGCATTTTAACTATGATCTCATGCCATGAACTATAAACCCACTCAGCTCAGCTGTAAGTGATCCACTGTCTGATCACAAACCAAAAGGGTCTTTGTATTCTTCTTAATAGCCACAGGAGAAGATTAATGAAAATTACACTGGTAAAGTGTGCAGGATTATCCAATGGCTTTTTTTTTTTTTTAAGATTGCAAACCAAACTCTGTGTTGCCACTATGCAATATGTGCCTATATCAACTCATTGTAGCGAAACAGGTAATTGTAGCCTGAGATTTACTGAGCACATACCCAAAGGCTCTCAGATTTTCAAATTGACTCACAAACCCTCTACACCATAAGAACTGTGCTTTCATCTGGGTTTTATACTGCTTTAAATAGGTAAGTCTCAATTTAGTACTCCAGTGAAATACGCAAAAGCATTTATTACTGCTGTTTTTCAAAATAAAGTGTTAAGTGGCACAATTCCTATGCTGAAAGCCTAAATGGGCCCTTCTATTAAGAACATTAGTATATAAAGAAGTGTTCTTTCACTTGTCTTTTCTCGGTAGTTTGCACGACCTGTGTTGATAAACTGATTGATGAAAATACAGACCAGCTTTATTTCTTGTGTACACAATTTTGAGGAAGTTGATAACAGCTGCACATAATTCTCAAAATTTCAGTCGACAATTCCGCAGTGTGTAATTAGTGGTCCTCCTATGGCAGCTTTTAAGAAAATCCACTTCTGGAGAGTTTCAGAGCTGCATAGACTGGAGACATTTTTATGCTTAAGCTTTGAAAAGTAAGAAAGTGAAGAAACACACATCAAAGGAGATGTGACTCTGTACGCTTGCTGCCAAGCACAAGAAGCAAGCATTTCAGGACAGTATACGTCAACACAAAAAATAAAATTTAAAATAAAATAAAAAAAAAATTTAAAGGTTACTGACGCACTGGCTTTGACTTATGAAGCCAACAAGTCTGGTAAAAAGATACATCAAAAGCTGTAAGATTTCTGGATCTGGAAAAGGATCCCCTAAAATGATGCTGTACATACTATGAAGACTTTGCAAACTCCTGTGATGAGGGGTTGCCCAAGTTTCCCAGAGAACAGTGTATTTTGCTGAGTATTTTGGTCTTCATTCTTCATTAGTCAGCTCGCCAGCTTCTTCTCCCTCCTCAAAAGTCAAACACAGAAAGAGATGAGGTCTGGTGTAAACACAAGGCCTCTTTATTTTGTTTCAACATTACTTCCCATTTAGCATGACCAAAACCAAGCAGAACAGTGGAAATCACATACACCATTTTTCTTAATACATTGCTCTTCCTTGAAACTGCATGAGTACAACAGGAAGGATAAATTCAACAATATTAATTCCAGTTAGGCATTTTCACATGTGAAAGTACCAGAGCTTATATACAACAGGTCACAAGCAGACAAATCAAAGACCAGTATCAGGAAAACCTACTCCAGTGAGATGCGAACTCTCCTTTGGGGAAAGAGTTTGTCTTGAAGCAAGGGATGCAAACCTCCTTAGCTAAGGAGTATGTGCAAATGTTTTTTAAAAGCTTTATCAGTAAAATTTGTTAAAGGGGTACACAACCCAGCTTCAAAGCTGCAAGGCCAGACAGGGTGCAGTTTAAAGCCTTCATTTGTCACTAACGCTAGCCCCATCTCCTAAAGGCTTTTATCCAGGGAATTTTTTTACCTAACTGTGCCTAGGAGCCCTTGGCTAAGGAAAGCCATTGGTGATTTAAGTGCAAATCATAGTAAAACGTTTTTAAGTTTTTGTCAGCTGCTCATGGTTTATGTCTTGGTCTTGGCTGAGTCTAATTGTTACCAGTTGACTCAAGTCATTAAGAGCCAAATCACTGAGTCTAAGAGCTGTGCAAACGCAATAACACCTACCCGGAGGGACAAATATTTTGACTGAAACACTAGGCAGTCAGTGTAAGTAAGATTGCCTTTCAACCTTATCCTTCTCCCAGCTTCACTTCTTCAGCATAATTATTTCCAAACCAAAACCAAGTGTATGAGAAACCATAAACCAAAGCCAGAATTAAAGCTAATACACACTTCTGCGTCATGACAGTGTAAAGAAGTGTGAATCTACACAGGACTATTGCGTTCAGGTCTACAGACGTGACTGCCTCTGCAAAAGCCACAGGGAACCTCCTTGGTTGGAGCACAACTCTGATTCTGGGCATTTTGTAAGAAAGAATTTCCACTCAACTTTCCAGGAAACTGCCCTCCAAAAATATTTCTCAGCCTTTTGACAAAACCTAGCAGTTCTATTAACCTTAAACAGCAGATTGTTTTTAATGTTGCTAATGTCCTTTTGGCTTCCCAGGAATTGTTTCTGTTTTTTTTGTTACTCTTTTTTGTACAGAGAGCCTTGCAAATGTAATTTGCTAGCTTCTTGTTGAGAGAAGCACAAGTTGTTGCACATATTGCACGAAGGCTTAAAAGTCCCACAGCTTTAAGCCAAAGCTCCTAGAACTTAAAAGTTTAGTATTAAATACATGATTGTGCAATTTAAAATGTGCTGTGGTCTCTGCAATATGCTTAACTTCAAAACAATCTGATTTTTAAAACAGCTTGTATTTAGTCACTTCAGTCACACCAGAGGTTTAGCCTGTGTTGGACTCAGTCAACAGTTACATGACATGAGATGGTGTCTGGGGCATACAGGAACAGAGATTTTTCCCTGGGATCAAACTAATTCTGCCTCTGTCCTGATCAGTGCCAAACACTTTGTTGGACAACTGTAGATAAAACAAAATGTGCCCTTGAATTACCTTTCTTCTGGAGCTCTTACAGGTAATTCTGATTTAAATCTTGAAGCAGAGGTTGAGAGGTTTTAAACTGTTATATAACTGCACTGTGAGCAGGTACAACTATTTGAGCTTGTATTATTAAGCACGTAAGCAACTCCTTTGGAAATCTGCCCAGTTTTTGGACCTCAATGACTTTCTGAAGGAATGAAGTCCATGAGTTAACAAAACATTGCCTGAGAAGGTATCTTCTTTAATGAGGGTTTCCCACCTAAAACTTCACTGACGTCATCTTCTTTTTATGAGTTCCTCTAATCTATCTCATTTCTGCTTTGCAATATTTTGTATTCTGCTACCACTCTTTTCAAATCTCTTCTGCAATTAATTTTTGCCCTGTCCTTTCTCCAATTTTCAAAATCCCTTGGCTTTTCTTTCTTCTTTTCTACACCATAACTTTCCAGATTAATTGACCCCTGCAGATAAGGGCTGCAGATAAGGCAACACCATTTATTCATACAAATATAGAATTTTAAAAGCCATCCACCATCTGTTATGGATTGTTCCTGGAAATGTTTAAAAGAATATTTTTTAACAGCTTGTCTGAGCTTTTTTCTTTTAAAATTTGAACATTCTTTGAAAGAATTTGGGCCTTTTGTTTTTGAAGACTTATGTATTCTTTTAAAATTAATAATCCAGAGCAGTTATGTTCACCTTTGCTCAGTAAAGCCATAGATATTTAGCAAGAATTTTTATTACTTTTTGTTAACTTGCATTGCATGATCACAATTAAAATATAAAAAAATTCTATTTATCTGAAAATATTTTTAATTAAAATGTTTCTCTTCAAGTTCATAAAATCACTATAATTTTTCCATTCATGAGTGAATAATCAGGCACACACTTTAAAACAGGGTCATTTTAAAGTTCCTTTTTCCAACAGTAAGTCCACTTACCAAAACTTTCAGTACAGTGAACAAATACACATTTTTTCCCCTACAAAGCCATAGGATTGCACAAAAAATACAGAATAAATATAAACATTAGGCCAAGGCAACATTTTAAAGTGCAATACTCCACTTGCCACACATGAATAATTCAAATAATGCTGCCTAATGCATAGGCAATACTTACTAGTATTTCAAAACCTAAAGTGACATGATGAGATCAACATATACCAGTAATTCAAATACATTCTATTTATAATAAATAAGAGCTTATCTGACCATAGAACAGAATAAGCATATTGTCCCAACAAGCAAGCTCTTCACAAATATCCTTTTTTTCACTTGTCTGAAGGGTGTGCTACCACTGAACATAAAGACAAATTAAGAAACAAAGATCTCATCCACCATCTGGTAAGAGAACTCATGGGGAGAGACATCTGGAATCTGTTGATGGTATATTTTTCCAGAGGTTTCATCTCAAATCAGTCAATTTATACTGTCATATATGTCAATTTATACAAATTGAAAATTATCTCTTAATTTTCTTCCACATATTCATATTCATATCCCCTTAATGTTCAGTTGTCTTGGTTTAAACTTTTTTCTCTTTTTTTTTTCCTTTTTTTTTTTTGTTTTTTTTTTTGGTGTGAGGAAAATGGAGGAAAGGGGAAGAGAGTTGCTTCACTTTGTATTCAGCTACTAAGTTCTGTGACAGTAAGGATGGAGGGAGAACATTCGAAGTCCTAGTCTCCATTAGCATTTTGCTTTGAGACAATAATGCTGTTCTGAAGTGAATTCCCAATCATCGCCCCTTAGTTAAACTTGGTTCAGTTTGCAGGGTGATTTTCATACACAAGAATTAAGCTTATTTTGGAGGAAACTACGGTGGAGGCTCAGCTGCCTTTCAAATACACTCCAGTCTCTAAAAGAGAGACTAAGAATCTGAACCCATTATTTGGCCTGCTTCAAACTGCATATACAGTTGAGGCATTTGTCCAAGGAAACATAATATATGTAGTCTTGAGTTGCATATAGTGTAGATGTACAAGTCTCAGCAGTAACTGCTTTCATCTACTGATCCTCCCCAACTGTAATAAGTATCTTGGCAATGCACACAGGTAGAGAGTCCCAAGGACCAAAACTTCTCCGTGGGATCCTCAGTGACTTTCCCAAAATTACTTCAGAGAAGTTTGACTACTAAATACTTCTCTGTATGACCTAAAACCTTAAAATTTCTGTGCATAAGCCATTTTCCACTGAACAAGCTTTTGGGACTGCCTCAGATGACTCCATTTAATTGGGTTTTTTTTGGCATACATTATTTTTCCATTCAATTCTAATTAAGATGTTGCTGTCAAAAGACCCTCACAATTTATTTGTTATCTGAAGCCACCACTGGTTTTCTCAAATATCAAAGTCAGAATTCTTTTTTTTACCCCTAAGCACCTCAGCATAATCTTGGTCCTCGCTCCTCCTTGTCTTGGGCATTGCAGGGTGGTGCGGGCAGCCCATGGCACTACCTGCAGGTAGAGCTCCTCCTCCAGCTGAGATTCTTAAAAAGTTAATTTTCCACTTCTAAGTCTGGCTAAAGTCTGGATACTAGACACTAGTAAAGCTATACGTAGCTATATAAAGGTAGGCTGAATTCCTATCTTGTTCCTGAATTTAACAAATATCAAACTGCTCATGACACAGCGAATAGTCAGATACAAAGCTCATTGGAGCAGTTATCCTAGGGAGTCCCTTTGTAACTGGGTCAGCAGTGTAGTCTTGAACTTGTCAAAGTTCTTCTGTATTCCCAGTTTGCAAACAAGCAACCTCTCCACACCCACGTATTTTAAAAAGAAATCCTGAATCTCTTTCTTAACAACACCACAAAATAATGGAAAAACAATTAAGTCAGAGACAGTTAAAACTACCACTAAAATAAAAGCACTGATTTAATTCATAGCTCTGGAGGCATAGCAGTGGAGCACTAGCACACATTGTATACAAGGCTGTGTGATCTTTCTTCACAACAGAAAATATTCTTGCAGAAAAGACAAAGTTGGAAACCATGTAACTACCTAAAAATAGTTTCAGACAGTAACTGGGAGGATTAAAACATGTGTCTCACACATCTTTGGTTTTGGAAAGTGAAATCTGGTCAATTAAATTCATGTCAAAATTCATGAGAAAAAGTGCTCCCTGAATCAGGAAACCAAGTTAAAAAGCTGAAGATTGTATTTGCCAAATGACTGTGCTACTGTGTAGGTGATTGGGACACACGAAAAACAAAATGGTTGAAAAAACACCCCGATGGAATGTGGAAATCTGAATCCATCTTTACTCCTAAAGCCTCAGGAATGATTGAACTCAATGGGTAGGGAGGCTGTATCTCAGCCAAGCAGCAGCTCAATGCAGCACCCTGGGAAAACACCTGAGTGAACTCTCAGTGAGCCATGTAACTGCAGGACTGCAGGACTGTTCCCTGTTGTTTAGTAGGGCCCCTCAGCTTCAGCAAAAAAACCCCACTGGGCAGACTGTACTGCTTTAAGTGCCCAAATTAGCTGTTACATTTCCCCTTGACGCTATGCTGTCTCGTGTAGATATAATCATAATGATACAAAGGCTCTGAAAATGCTTTCAAAATCAGAACATTATGAGTGATGTTGGGCCAAGCACTCTCTCTGAAGTAGACATGAAGTGAAACTTTGGTGCAGTGACCTCCCTTGTTTTGTGAACAGAGGGAAGTCCTTTATCCCCAGGCAGTGAGATAAAAGTGCAAAACAAACTTTAGTGAAATCGAAGAAGTTTGAAGCAGGCCTTAAAACCATATTCAACCCATATTTATAGTATCTAGACACAATATTGTCTCTAATGACACTGAAATTAAAGCTTACATCCTTTGTGTTGCAAAAACATAACAGAGAAACAAGAAGCAATTCCCTCCTCAAAAAAAATCTTATTTAAAAAAAAAGGCTCTGATAAAAAGTAGGGAAATATGTTTTTTTCAGGAAAGGAAGTCACACAGATTTCTAAAACCAAAAGGGCATATTTTATACCCGGAATTGTACAGAGCTGGAAGTATGACTGCCATGTTGAAAGACACAAAGAGCACAGCAGAGTTGAGCTGCTTTTTTCCAGTGACAGTCTTCATCTCAAGTCAAAGGTGATAATGGCCAGAAAAAGCCCATTTCTCTTGGATATTTTTTAAATGCACTCACTTCCCTTACAGAAAGGAGAAGGGGCATCATATCATCCCCTCTGAACAGCCAGGAGGAAATGAGTCTGGGAAGATTTTGCAGGAGGTTGAACTAGATGGAGCACTCCCTCTAGTCCAGAACACTCTCTTAATTTGTTGACCATTGTGTAGCCTGCATAGATATCTTAATCCCTGCTTCTAATTTAGCAGAAGTTTGATTCAGCTGTCGCTCACATGAAGGTAATTCAATGAAGTGTCTGACTACAAATGGCAATTCTAAACTCTATGATAAGGACCCTGAATTATTTATAAACACACACTTCTTACTTAATTCCTCTTAAAAAATAACATTTTAAATTAAATACTTACTTTTTTCTTTTTTTTTTTTTTAAAAGTTCCTAAGAAAAACTGGAAACTGTTCTAAATTCCCCAGGTTTTTTCCATACCTGGTGATAATACTATGGAAATTGCCTTCTTTCATTCATTAGCTGCAAAATCTATTTACTAGAAGTGTTTTTATTTTAATTTATATGCATTTTAGTCAACGAGTATCTCATTGTTCCATATAATGCTTCCTATACTATTATTAAACAGAACAGCAGGTGTCCTCTTTAATTAAGGTATTTATCAAATCCCCTATCAATGCAAAAATGCTATTTTTGCAGTGAAATTTAAATAGAACTCTAGAACTATGACAATTTTGGTAAAGTAACTCCTGAAAGGTCTAACAAAATCTTTAATGTTTGCAAATTTTATAACATAACATTAAACAAAAATGAGATGTCATTCCTGATGATCAGGCACTGTGTTTAATCAATCTTTTCCAAATCAGATGGAGAATGATCAGCAGAGTATTTTGCAAATGGCAAATGGATTTATACAGAGCTTGAGAAAGGAACCACTTGCTTTCCAGCCACATACACTTCGGAAATATTCCGATCATCACCTGAAATAACATAGTCAAAATAGAGATTTGCACATAAATATATACACTGATTTAATTAATGAGAATTACGCAGTCCACTAAATCAGTTTTGGAATACATAATTTGCCATGACCTTCTCCTAGGACTAAGAAAGTTCATTTGGAGAGAAACAGACAGAGCTACCACAAAGACCAAAAAATGTTTAAACTACCCATGCTTTTTTTAAGAAAGAAACATAGCATTCAGCTGTTGAAATGGTGTAATGGATTTTATGTATATTCAGTAGATTCAAACCATGAAAATATTATATATCTGTACAGAAAATGCATTGTTGCACAGTATCTCAACTGGCTCAGCAGTAAAGATGATTTGCCCCAGCCAGCTTCTCAAAAAGGCAAAAATCTAGTTAGAGGGTGACACAACTGTGGCCAGAGCTAACACCAGTTACCTCAACATAACAACACAGCAGGCAGTGCAGCTCTGGTCCAGACAGTGCCCTGTAGAGCATACCTGCTCCCTTAGGGGTGGGATTGTTTGGACTGGCTTTTGTTTGTTTTAAAGGCCATAATTTCTGTTTGAAAGTAGAAAAACCACAATGACAACTGGTCTACAGAAGTCCTTCTGAACTGAACTGGTCCTGAACTAGTGACTAGCATGTCAGTGTTACTTTATTGAGAAATACAATTTAGCTCGTGCTATAGATAAAGATAAATGTGGCGCAACTGATCATATGAAACTGACTATTTAACTATGTCTCAAAGATCAAAAGTTAAACCACTCAATTCTTACTCAGTATTTTAAAATATATATTAATAAATACAAGTCAATTTTTATTTATTAATGTAAAACATTAACAGTAATTATCAGGGACATGTTAACGTCAATAAGAGTTGAATAAATATACTTGGTTACTGTAAACAACTGTATATTTAATTATGTATAAATTTATTATTAATCTCTAAATTAATTTAGACAATGTTTGATGTAGGAAATGAGAATTTTATGTGGATTGAAAATCAGATCATACCTAGATACAGGAACTTCTGCAGAATGTCCTATAAAAAAATGGGAGAAAACCAAATTCAGAAAGCAGTATCTGCTGTCCCAGATCATAATTATTCAAAGCTTGAAAGAACTGATAAAAATTGTTTTCCCAAATATTCTTAGTAATAGTGAAATCAAAACTTAACATGCACGTCATAATTAACTTTCAGAGGAAGAAAACACTGCACAAGTTTGATGGCATAAACAAGTATGTGCCCTTTCCCTTCTTTAGAGTTCTCAAATTCACTTACTCATTGAAAAATAAGACAACACCTAAACATTTTTAGGGTCCTAACAACTGCTAACTTAGCTAAAAAGGTTTAGACTTAAACAGAAAAATAATTCTTTTACAGCATTGGAATTGTTTCCAGACAGTCTGGCCACATCAATAAATTCAAGTAACTGCTGTTAACTATCTTTCTTGGTCAGAAAAGGTTTTTATATGAGAAGGTGTGTCCATTGCATGAGGCCAACACTGCTTTAACATAAAAACTGTCCTTTTAACTCAAATTAGCTGTCTTGAGTTCTTGCTTAGTTTTATAACAGCAGTGCAGCAAAGGCAGCCTAATTTTTTTCTGGGAACAGGTTGCCATTCTTCAGTTTGAACTCGAAGTGTTGACTAAAACTCAGTTGCTTTTCCTTGGCTGCCATTTGTCAGTGCAAATAGCTAACTCTAATTGTCATCTTGGGCTAATAAATATGCATTAAAGGTATGACCTGCATTTTTGCTCATGGGGTTATGGGACTGTCACTGAGGACAGCAAGATTCTGAAGAAAAAGAAACGCTGAACCTCTAAGGCTGAAGCACAGACAGCAGTGGTACAGTACATCTGATTCCTGTCACCAGAATAACTCTCAAGAGACTTATTCTGTCTGTATCATGGACCTTCCCCATAACATTTCCATTAATTTTTTTATCATTAATCCTGTTCTGATTACCTCAAAATTATCAGCAGAGAACAAGTCAAAAGGGCTATCTGAAGCCTTCGTGTTGATTAGCAGAGCATCAAATTCTTTGCCCACCTCGAAGTTTCCAATCACATCATCTAGTCCTAGAGCTGAGGAAGAAAATAAGCTCACAAACACATCTTCAGCACCAGCCTCTTTCCACCATGTAGAAGCACCTGGCAACTTACTTGAGATATTCATAAGAAAAACAAGAATTGAGATGATTTTGAGGGAAAACACAAAAGAAAATTCAACAGTGAGTTTGTCAGTATCTGAATTCCTAAGAAACCTAAGAACTTAAGAAACAATTTGCTACATTGCAAAAACATTAAAACTCCAAAAGAGGCAATGAAATTAAGTCAGAGAAACAGTAAAGTATATAATAACACTCACCTTGGTGTGGCAGCATTAGATTTAATTTTTTACCAAGTTTAAGCAACTTTGACAAGTTGTATAGACCTATTAGAGTCGTAACATATGATAATAAAAGAGGTGTACAGTGAGGATAACTAATTGTAATTAGCAGGAACAAAGAACAATGTGGTGTGGAAAAAAAATCATAGCCAGATCTGAAGGTCTCATACTCACCTGTAAGGCTTGCCTTGTAGTATATTATTTATTTGTTTTTTCAAAGCTTCCTTACAACCTCTGGTTCTCAAGTCCTCATACACTGAAAACCTACATATTCATCTTCAGTGACTGGATGCTTGAAAGTGCTTAAAGTACTTAGAGGCCTTTGTGTCTCTTTGAAACAAACTAGGATAGTTTTAAGTTGTAGAAAGTACCAGTGAATTAAATCAACTTTTCCAATACTCTGAAACTAAGTTATCGAAGAGGATAATATCGGCAAATAACTTGTTCACTTCTTTTCAGATTGCTGTGACAAAGGAACTTCAGCCTTCAGTGAAGTTTGAGTGTGGCAGGAATACCACAATACCTTAAAGATGTTTAAACTCCTACAAATGGTGAAATATTTTGACTACCTACTAGTGTCAACTAAAATGATCTCGCATTTCTCCAGGTTTTTGAGCATAATGCAATTTTTAGATTAAACACAAGAGGGTGACAAGTGTTCAGGACTCTCAACAAAGCAAATTATTCCAATGAAGAATCACTCATTTAAATTTCTGCTACCGGAATTTCTACTTCCAGTGTCCAGGCTAGTGGAAGTCATACAAGTAATTTATATTCTACCCTTGAATATGATTCAGTAAGGATAAAACAGCTCAAAATCAATATATAAAATCACCACTTTACTACGTAAACCTAAGAGAGAAAAAACATAAGAGTAGCTGGGAAGGGAAATCATGTATGAGTTTGGGATTTTTAGAAGTTTTCCTTTCTATGTCTCAGCTGATTTATTCTCACACTTTATGGAACAATATATATTGGGGGAAAAAGATCCCTTTTTTTTCCCTGCCCATCTTATCTCTTCTCTATTTCCATTACACTCTCCAGGAATTCAAATATAGTCCTTAGAAGACCGGTTTGATGACATTTTCACTACATCTTTCAAACTGCCAATAATAGTTCCCAATCATGCTTTCTGACATCTACAAAAATGTTACACTGTAAGACCAGTTCTTTAGCAGGTAGTGACTTCATTTCTGCTAACTGAAATACTAATAAGTTTTTACTTACGTGTGGATTTGGTCTTCGCTAAATCATACCAGTTCCACTAACATTTTAAAATTGTATATATTAGTAGGTGCACACTGATCATGACAAAACTTGCCAGTGAACCAGGATAACCCATATACTATATGACTATTCTGCAGATACAACTGTGTCATAAACAACCATGGTGGGTATCATTTAAATTTTGTGCTTTTCTCTGAGTGAGGAGTGCCACGTGATGTTTTGATTTGAGATAAACTGCCTCACTGACAGCTCAAAAACCAGAAACAAAATTAGAAATTGATGACAAACAGAATACATGATCCTACAGTAATTGCACAGTTTTTCCTCTATATGATGGTTGCTGAGAAAAAAAATTTCCAGTTGGTGAGATAAACATACAAGCACTTACGACCTTATGACTAAGAAGTCTGAGGATCTTTGCAAAGCAAATGTACAACCCTGAAAAGCCATTAAGATTGCATTATTAAACTCTCCACATCAATGTGAGTACTCTTCTGTAATAAGCGTAGCATGAGAGACTGAAGGATATCTCTGCCCACCAGATACCATTTTAAACTTCACTCCAGCACCAGGAAATCTGTGAATCTCCCATGAAGGCAGGGAGACATAACATGAAAAGCAGCTGTAGCGCTCTCTGTACCCACCAAAGAATTTTCTTCTTACCTTGGCTTCCTCCCAGAGTGGCAAGTTGAAAAGCTTCTTCAAGAGTTAGTCCTGTTTCATTGACTTTATTGATCTGAAGGCTATTAGATGCCATCATTGCTTTCCTGATAGCATCAAGCATAGAAGCTGAATATCCACCAGCAACATCTAGAAGGGATCAGACTCTTAGAAACAAGCTTTGGGCATAATTCTCTATGTTAAATTTCTATTGAATGTTACAAAGAGATAGGTGTGGTAAACACAGCAAGTTTTACGACTAAGCACTGCCTCTGAATACATAATTCCCAATAAAGGTGTTCTCACATGCAATCAGGTGAAGAGAACACAACACAAAATCAGAAACCTGAGAAGTTGTTGTTCAAGCCCTATTTACTCTCAAAACAGGAATAAAACTCTTTGTTAATTTTTTTTTTTTCTTTTGGAACACTTTTGGAGCAGCCCTAGATTTCAATACTATGCACTTCCTTACTCTAGAATTAGTGGGGGAAATAAAAGCAGGACTACAAGTTGGAGACAGGCTGACTTCTAATATGAAGGGGTGAGCATGTTTTTGTATCTCCCAATGGTTTCCAAAAGAAACCATTTTTACAGCAAATTACTAACCTGTGCCAAGACCAAGCTTCACATTGTGTTCCAGGACCTTTCGCACATTTAAGACACCGCTGCGCAACCTGGATTTAAGAAGAAATATGTTCAAGAAGAGCGGGGCCACAGAGCCATTTTATGACAAAGGCTCTCAGAACGTGTGCAATAGAATTGATTTATTATTTATTCTGGCTGGATACTGTTATTTCTGCTTAATAGAAAGAAGACTGTATAGTCCAGTTCCCAAAACACAAGTATAGTTTGGGGGGAAGGGAGATGGCCTGAATCTGCCATTGATAGAACAGTCAAAAATATTTTTTTCCCAAATAAATATTCATATAGATATAAATATAAATATCGATATAGCGACTAGACTGAAATATCACAAGACAGGCCAGAGCACACTACACAGAAGTGGATCACAATGGTCATGTTCAGTCCAATAGGTCATTTATGGTGAAGTGGGATATCACATTAATAGCATTTCAGTGGTAGTGTGGACTCAGAGTACTACATGAACAACAGTTTTATTTGATTATACATCATTCTTTTTTAATTTTTTTTTTTTTACTTACGAAAAGTTAGAATTGGGGCAATGTGAAATTGCAGCTCCACGAAGACTAAAAAGTTTCAACTCTTCTTCAGAAAGATAACAGGCATGAGCCATCACTGTCTAAAGAAAAAGAAAATCACCAATTTACTCATTATTGCATTTACTTAAGTGGCTGTACGTTTTGCAGCACTGCTTTCAATAGCCAAAAGGATACGTTACCATCAAGTGAAATTAAGGTACTTCTTGAATGAAGCTCTTAAAATTCACAAGTGTAAATTGGTATTTACCTTCAATATGCCTGAGATGTTCCCTCAGCTTTTTTTCATTTATTAATGTAAGAAGATAGGGTGCTGACTGTTGCAGCGACTCCTGTGACCTAAGAGCTTCAAGGAGCAAAAGCAAGAATTCCCCAGTTGTCCTAGCACTGTAGTAACCTTGTGATTTATATTTTGTAGCTAACACAGAGATTAAGTAGGGGTTATCAGATACAATGGAAGAGGTATGTACTCTTAGCATGTTCCTCATTGGCTCTCTAAAGGTTTGCACCAGGTGGAGATAGATACATATATATATACATATATGAAATAATCTTTAAGTAAAATAATGAAATTTGTTGTGTAGCTTTTAATTCTTAGTCTACATAGCTGACTTTAAAAATAAGTTCACTAGCAGCATATACAAAACATAGTATAGGATAGTATAATTTAATAGTACATAAACCAATTATTCCCAGACAAATCTAATTTGCACTACCTCATATACCAAATGCCCACTGAAAGAGAAGAGCAAGAGCTCTGTCATATCTTGCAATCTGCTGATAAAAATGAGAATGGCACAGAGGCTGTTTCCACTCAGTATCTCCTAATAGCAGTGTAACCTTGCCATCTCTACTCATCAAGCTCAGTGCAGCTGAAAATGCAAGGACAGCCACGTCTTCAGTTGAGGACATACATATGGTTGTTGCTGAAGCATCTGTGCTGATCTGTACTGTTCTTTAAAAAGAAGGAAATATTTCGGCAACAGCTTCAAAAAAAAGATGCTTTTAAAACACTTTAAAAATTGATTTGATGTCTTAGTTTTGGTGGCTGGACAGCGGAGGATGTCGGAGGTTCTGTTATGCTTGTGTTTAATAGAATGGTTTTCCAAACAACCAGAAGCCTGACTCCAGAATGCACCAGTAACCATGATTTTTAGTTACCATTTTCACTTCTGTGCATATAAAAGTCTGACAGAATTAAGAACCGTGTTTTCCCAGCACTAATATTCGCTTTAGTACACTCACTGACACACCAAATCAGCATGCATAGGACTGTGCTAGAAAATAAAGATTAATACTGTGTACCTACTTCAGTAGTCCATATTGATTTCTCAAGTAAAAAAGGACAGTAAACAAGTAATTTATTGGGATACAGTTTCAAACACAAAAATGGCAGTTCAATAGCTAATTCCTAGGGAGTTTCCAGCTGCCCTTTATGCCTCTGGAAATTCTCTCCTAAACTTTTAAATCAATTGACTGATATTTATGCATTCTGACTGTAGTTGAGCTGTTCATATTCACTTTTGCATGGGTTCTCCACTCTCTAATAAGGTGTGTCCTGGGACTCCAGCCTGTAATTACTGTGGGTTGGTATCAGATCTGGTTACATTTATCTCACCAGTATAAAGCTTTAATGAATTTCAACTCTTCAGACCACTGTGTCTTTCAATGCTGGGCAAAGTCAGGTAATGAGATGAGAATGCTTTTGGATAATGAAGCAGTAATGTGTACTTGTCTGCATGTGAGGTTGAGACTCCGAACACAACAGGGTAGGATGCTTTCCCTTAGGAAATTGACAAAAAAATGAAGTTGGTCCTACCATAACACCATAGAAGAAATCTTTAGGCAAACCAGTGTGCAAAGATATTGTAATATAAGGGTAAGTGAGTACTGTCCAAGAATTACCCGCTCCTACAATAACAGCTCCTTCTAATTCCACTGCCCTAATTTTCTTTGGAGCCCTTGGAAAATGGATCAGGGACCATAAAATATGTTTATTGTTCATCTCCCCTAAAATGCTTGGGAAAACTGTGGGCTCGTCTAAAGTTCCAATACCTCAACAGAGAACATAAAATGAATCCATACTTCACCCCAAATGTCTCTGACCTTGACAAAACAATATAAACTTCTCAGGTAAATGCAGTAAACCATCATTTTCTCTATATGGATTAATCTAAGCTATGTTGTTGAAGTTTTTATGCAGCTACCTTGCTGGTTAGCAGCTTGTTTTTATCATACAAATCAGTGTAATTCTTGTAGGCAGGAAACATGTTCTCCACAAGTTTGACTTCTTCTTCATTCTCACTTATGTGACTCTGAAATAAGAAAATACATAGCAGGGAAAGCTTTAAATAACATTGAACCTCACACTACAACCTTCTGAGCAGTTAGATCTAGTCCTTAGGTTTCTCTTTTCATCAGAGAGATCCCTGGGACACAAAGGAGTAGCTCCATTTGTTCCTTTAAAAGTGATATGAGATGGTATGCATGTCCATCCCAGTAGTGTGGTGACATAATGGTCAATTTAGGGTTTGGAAAATGTCAATAAAACATGATATGCCTGTGAGGTAAAAGAGAGAACCAGCCTACAACAGAATGGACCCTGAGATCAGGGTAGCTGATAGGCAGCTCCTCCATGTATCTGCAGATGGGCTGATTGATTACTGGCCTCAAATAAAAATATGACCTTTCTGTACTCCCACTGGGGCATATATTTTCAAAATGTCCACTTTGTAATGAAAAAAAACTACATGTAGCACAGCTTTAAAACAGTATATGCTTAGAACTGTGTAACAAAAAAAAATAATTCATTTCAACACACCTGCAAGCTTTAAAATATCGCTTTTTAAACACAGAAACTTTATCAACTAGAAATCCTACAGCTATATTAAAAATGTTATGTAAGATATGAAGATGATTAGTACTTTTATATACTGAAATCTGTTCTGCAGAGAAACAATGGAAGGCAGGGGGACAGAATTGACTAGAGAGAGCAACCTTCAGCAATCCAAGGGTTGCTCTACCCTTTGGTACAAGGTGCCAGTCTTCCTGTGTGACCATGCACCAGGACTTGCTGAATTGTGCATCCAGCTATGAGCCTTCTCAATTCCTGTACAAGTTACAGTGTTCTTACAGAGTATCTTTTGTAATTTCAGAGGAATTAAAAAGAGACTCCAAAGTGGAGAGGCTTAAGTGTTTTCCTGCAATCATGAAAACTCCCTGGTCAGTATGCTGTCTGTCCAAACTATTGAAATTGTATATAGAGCTCTCAGAGCTTACCTGCACATGGAGATCACGAGCCTGTGCTAAATCTCCAAGTGCACACAGCAAGTCCTCTGTGCAGGAAGGGCCAAAGCGGGGGGTTATTACAGGTTGTACTCTTGGATACTGAAAATATTAAAAAGACAGGCTTTGTATTCTACATGCACGTGCGCACGCATGCGTGTGTGTATATATATATGTATACATTTACGTGGCAATTACATTTTGTCTTCATTGCTTATTGCATACTGCATCCTCACCAACTCAAATTAAGCTGTATAGTTATTTCCTTACTTTTATTAGACATTTCATCACAGAAATAGAGAATCGAAGTGTGTGTGTGGGGGGGTGTTTAAAACAATTTTAATGAACTTTATTAAAGAATTTATTTTAATTAGAAGTCTCTCATTGAGTCACTGAGATTTTACCAGTCTTCAGGAGCACTGGATACTTTTTCATCCTTGCCGACAGTCCTATATGCATTACCAGAAATAAGTCAGATGAATGACCAGACATTTTTCTGAGTTCCCCTTCTGTGACAATCAAAGATGTAATGATGCAAAACTGTAAGCTTCTGCAAAACCGTAAGCTTCTGCAAAACCAAACCCATTTTCTTGTTTAATCTTTTCTACTCATAACAGCAACAAACTATCCCCATACTATCTAGATAGGAAGAATAGCGGTAGAATCAGATATGCTACACAGCAGGAAACGGGAGAAAACACCAAGAACAGAGCTACAGAGGTTTACACCTTGCACATCTAGATTAAAATTTTTATAAAAAATAGACAACAGCATTACAATTCTGCTTTCAGTCACAGGAGAGACTTGTGCAGAAGTCAGCATATGATATTTTGGATTGCAGTTTCCTGTATCATCTCCCAGATATAAGATGCTCAGGACTTTGCAGATTAGCCAACTTACTCTGCTAATAGATATCATTTAGGCGTCAAACTCAAGGCATCTGCCCTCGAATATTTTGAGATACAATGTCAAAAAAGCCACTGAAAACTAAAGGCTGATAGGAAAATACCTCCACTTGTAATATTGGAGAGTAAACATCTATGTTTACCTCAGGAGTGTGAACCCGAATTTCTTTTGAAACACAGTGTAAGATATGTGTTGACTAAAATTACTAATTTTATAATGGATTACTAACCTGTACTGAAAAAACACCGATTTCTGCTGGTGAGAATTTCTTTAGTTAGTCTACTTATATACCGCAGAGGATCAAGTGAATTCCCCCTTTCTTTAACAGAAAATTATCCTTTCCAGGAAGCCAGATATTTTAAAGTCAATAGAGAAACACACAGAACATTACTCTACTTTGCTCTGATCACAGAAAACTGATTTTACACTGTTACAAGTCCATTTTTCAACAACATGGCTAGCAGAACATTTTTCAGACTGATGGCATCTCTCGTACAAAGAAAGAGGTTTATTTTATTGATTTTTCATTAAGACAACAGTTTTGGACAGCATGATTAATGACTTCATATATTCACAAAATGTCTTCTGAATACAGAAGTGGATGCAAAGGAGAACTCTACTTACTTTCTTTTCCAGCAGTTCTTTAACAAACCTGAAAAAACGTAAAAATAAGGTTGCTATAAATTTGTGACTATGTCACAAATTATGAAAAATATAGAAAATATATACTTGGATACCCTGTTAAACACTCCAGACATAGATCAATTTTTCACAAAAAGCTGAACCAGATTTTCAGATGAAATAAAAACAGACAACACAATACAGTCAGAATAGTTACACCAAATTATGCTAGTTTTGAATTTGACCCCAAATATGCAGATTATTTTTTTCATTTGTAATAATTACCATTAGACAAGTGGTAATTATTCTGTGTTCTCCCTGAAAACCAAACACATGCTACATTAAATGAATTGAAAGCATAATTATAAGGTACAGATGCAACATTAGAGATAGAAAAAACAAACCATCTTAAATTTGTCTGTCCATGACTTTAAGCTGCAGTGTTAAATAAATTCTTTTAAAATCCAGTTTTTAAAAGATGCAGCAATATTTTATACCTCACTTACATTAGTTGCAAATGTCTTTGTTCACTTAAAGAACCTTGATTTTCTGGAAATTATTATATTAATGTTAGTGTACAGATTATCTACTTTATGGAAAATACAGATTTACTTACTCTGTTAAATAAAAGGAGATACCTCAGATCTCTACAAGAAACCCCAAGCAGTCAATATGAATAATGCAGATGAGCAAATAAAACTTCCTCTGATTTTGGAGGGAGGAAGTTCTTTGAAAGCTCATTATGTTCAGTGTATGTAATTTCCAAAAGCCAGATTGAGACGGTTTCTGGACAGGAACTCTGTGAATTTTTATGTTATAGTTTATATTCAGAAAACTGTGCGATTTTAATTACAATAAACATTGAATCAAATTTATCAAATATCTTCAGATGAAAAGAAAATAATGCTGGAGGATAGATTCACAGCACTGGAGCTGGTGCTAGATAACCAGCTGGAGATAAAATACCCTAGTTCAACTTCTGCAATGACCAAAGGAGTTTGAGCCCACCCTTGTCTACCTTGGAGAGCCAAAATGCAATGTGAATTCAATATCATCTGCCTGCCTCTTCCCTTACTGATTAACCTGATATAATAAAAGATTCACTTGAGCTGAAACTGTAACAGAAGTATAACGCTCAGATGATAAGCCAAAACTTCAGTATGGCTGTTTTCATTCTTTTTCACATTCTTTGAACAGTGTGAACATTGTTTCAAAATTGAAATATCTTTACCAAGTATACCTTATACTTTGTTGGCTTATGTACTTCACTGTGAGAAAGGAAGCTCAGCTTCAAATCACTGTCTTCTGTAGCAGAAGAACAGACTTGAACATACATACTCCTCTTTCCAAGTGATTATAACTATTAGTAGCATATAGCATTGTATTCTGGATTTCCATTTCCTACCTTTTCAATAAATCCCCTTTGACAGAAAATAGTACATTCAAATTTTTTCTTGAATTTAGATTTAATATATGAAGCACTTGGAATTGTATCTTATTTCCATGCATACAATATAAATAGTTCTGCTGGTAACTATAAAGAACTAAAATCAGTGTAGTCCATTTTCTGAGAGTGTGGCAGATCACATTTCCTTGGGGAAAAAAAAAACAAATAACAAAAACACCCACTAAAACATTTCCCTCTTAAAGAGAGAACTTTTTCATCTTTCTGCAATTGTATGGCTGTGATTCAGTAAGTACTCCAGATCCATGCTGAGAAGCACACAGCCCTCTTCTCTAGTCAGTTCTGGACTACTTGTGGCACACTCTCACTCAAAGCTCAGAAACATTTTTTATTAACACAACTAAAAAGGAACGAGTTGGAGGCACAAGATAGATATTTAAAAGAAAGCTATTTAGATAATTCTGAAGCTTTTAAAAATATCAGAACTGGGAGTTCTGCTGCTTTCAGGCCCATTCAGCAGGATTTGTGCTGTATTATGAAAACTGGGAATTTGTGAGAGGGAAAACAAATGTTAGTAGAGTGAAAATTATTAATACTACACATTTTAAAGATGTCTTTAAATATAAACACTGTTAGAAACTCATGACCATTTTTGACTTTTCTGTCATGCCTCTAGCGTGATTTGCAAAAATAGCATAGCAACTTCACACAAGTGCCATAAGATGTTTATATTCCTCTTGGGTACTGATATTTGAAACCTTCATACAAGTAAACAAACAGTCCCATGAGAAGAGCTGTATGTCTGCTTCTGAGCAAGGGTGCAAAAGACACAAGAAACGTTAAGACAGCAGGATGTTGTACTCCAGTCTTGGGTCTCCTCTACAATGGGCATTGCCTTTGTTTGATTCTCCTTCATTCACTCAGCTGCCTATTAGAATAGTTTGACTGGTGCTGTGATGGAGAAGAGGAGAACCACAGCATGTTTAAAATGGGGTATATGAAAGCTAACTTCCACAAGGAAGGAAATAGCTCAGACGATAATGGTGGCAAAGGAAGTGGCTGCCACCCTACCATCCCATGTCAGGTCACATCACTCTACACACATCTGTGAAGGGAAAAGAGGAGGCAGAAACCACACATATTCTCTCAAACCCTAAAAGGCTTCTCCCTTTCTTTACAAAAGCCAGAGAGATGCTACTTGGGCTGTGCAGCAACTGGGTATGCAGAAATTGCCAGAACTGTAGGGGACAATACTGCTGGAAGAAAAAAACCTGTTCCTAAAAAATTCACACCTGTAAGTTCTTAGTCAGATTCACATTCACTATTCATATGTATGAAAAATTTTATTTTAAAAGGTTAGGCCATCAATTTAATCATTTTACCTTTCTGTCTCTTGGACAGAGTCAGCAGTAATCTCTTTGTACTGTGGCACACTGTCATTCATATCCATGCAGACTTTTCCAACAAATGCTCGTTGACCAAATTTATCTGTTGAGATGCATTAGAATATAAATCTCAGAATCACTGGTTCTCAAAAACCACTATCAACGCTTATCCCGAAATATGAAAGTAAAGTCCACCCCACCTAGCTTAATTTATGACGAACAGAATTCATGCTCTTGTCTTATCTCTAAGTTGGGACTATACATGTGACTTTTAAGGATAAAAAGGAAAAAGGAAAAAAGCAAACAAACTATATTTAAACAGGAGTTCTCCTCTTGCACATTAGTACCCAACTCTATAATTGTTATTACTGAGCACTAGATTACTGTAGTTTAACTACAACCAGAATTCATAATGGTACTATATGAAGAATGGCTGTGAAATAGAGGATGAGAAACACAAGCACCAAAGCACAGTAGCTGTAGTAGATGACTACCCTGAGATGAGAAAAAGCACAAAGATCTCAGCAAACCATCTCTCCTTAAAAGAAAGGAATGAGGTTGTTAACATGCTCCCACACACAGTTAGAGGGAGAAAATTTTCGGAGCTATTCTAGCATCTTTCTTAAGATTTATCCATGCTAGATGAATAAATCAGAATTCATGTGCAAGACATGCATATAATATTCAATTCTAAGCTGTCAAATGTGTTTCTAAATTAAATTTCTTTGTCCACTTTTACTGTTTGAGTTGCTGAATGCAATGGCTTCCAAATTTTCCTACCAAATCAGAAAGACTAGGTAATTTTTGAATAAAATTTATTACATTTACACTTATTACATTTTTCTGCTTTGGGAGCTGTCTGAGCCTTGAGAAATCCTGCAAGAACCACAACATTTTCAAACAGGAGACATTTGCAACTGTGAACAGAAGGGAAAGATCCTGATGCAGCTTTCATTTTTCTGAATTCAGAGGGTGTGTGAAGATTTTTTACATTGATTATCTGCTACAACTTGGGAGTATTAGGACATTAATGTGCCGACATTTAGCCTTTTAAACCTCAAATAACAAAAGGTTAGAAAGAGTAGAGAGCTGCAGCTGGAGAACAACTCCAGCAGACCTAATTCAAGCTCAGTCAGCAGCTGATTCGGGAGTGAACAGACAAGCAGAAACAACAGCAGGACAGAGGCAGTGAAGTGAATAAGTGTAATCAAGGTGGGTTTTGGGGACAGAGGTACAACAAATTAAAAACAAATTAGAGACAGCCAGACCCTTAGCAAGTCTGAAACTCCTAAACTCTTCTTCCTTCAACTAATATGATACATGTGGCATCCTTCAAAACTCACTGTTAGTCTTACCTATAATTTCAGCAAGAAGAAGAGAAGTATCCGTGTGAATTGTTGCAAAGTAGCAAGCTGTAGTCGTGCCATTCTTTAGAGTTCGTCTCTATAAAAAGAAATCAGTTTCAGCTGTCTGAAAAAAAAAACAGTAAAGCTGCCAAAAAGCAGAACAGGCAGACTCATTTCAAACTGTGAGGACATTTAGTTATTGTGAAATTGTGCAGTGAAGTGGGAAGGTAAAATACAGATTTTTAATTTCATAATAGCTCTTTTAAGTCTGTGTGTTAATAAATACAAAAAGTCCTCACAGAATTTTTGCAATGACTAAGCCCATAGAAACCACTCTATATTTCTTCCATCAAACAGGAAATACTCCAACTTATATTTAGATATACAAACAACTAGTCATTTTTGTTATTTCCTGGTTTTGAAAAGCTCTCCAATTTTCACAGTGAAGCACTGTTTATCTGGTGTTAACAAATCAAGGCTTTTGGGAAAAGCAGTGGTTTTATTTTGGCCATCTGATGTGGCTGGAAAAACTAATCAAGTTTTTCTGTATCAAAACCATTTCCTATTGCCAAATACAAAGTAACAAACTTAAAAGTAAAAGCAAACTAAGCACAACTGCTCAGACAATATATCTAATTATTTATTTAATTATACCATTTGAAAGGAGATGGTGGTTGACACCTGTTCATATTACCTTTGGAGAGCGTAACAGCAAATGAAGTGCAATTTTAGTTACATTAATTCATGATGAAATTTATAGCTTCCACTGATCTTGGGACTGATGACTATATTGACTACTCATTCAACATAAGGGTTTAAATTACATATTTGGATTCTTGCTACCAAGTAATTTAAGAATTTTCTTCTATTTCTTTTAGTGAGAAAGAAGGTGAGACATCCAACACAATATTGAGAACGGCTAGAGCTAATTATCTGAGAAACACAAAGCCAAGCTGTCTTTTTTTTACAATATTCAAATGAAAGTCTTTAAGGGTTCCCAAAATGAGTCTCAAAAATAACAATGTCATTACTGAGATAAACTACTTTTGTCGTTTTTAGCTTTTAAAATCCAGAATTCTCTACTTCTGGAATTCTAACAACATTGTTAAATGAAATCCAAAAACATTCTCTTTCCAAATCATCAGCACAAAGAATTGACTTTCCTAAAATTGAAGGGACCAGAGAAGGTTCCAGCTGAAAGCTGACAGATTTCACCTAAATTATTTCTTTTGCTGAGTATAGAAAGTGTTTACTGGAAATAAGATTTTGGTTTGAAAAAAATTCACTGTGTTTTCATTACAACTCCAAAACTACAATGACACATATGAAAAAATATCTGCTCCCTGTAAGTTTAGTCCTGTTTCTAACAGCTGAAGGTTATTGTCAGCCTCAATGAACACTGCAAAGTGACTGGTATTCTGTAGCTTTTCTGGGTGAAGGCATTTTCCTGACCTTGTCCTTTTCAATACACATGGGGAGAGCCTTACCATCGTGTTGAAGCTCCTACAATTAACTTGCATCTCTCACTGGTAGTCTCTTTCCAGATGATACTGTTAAACACCTTGCACAGTGAGTACTTTGAGGTCACTGAATGTGAACTGTAACAGAGTGTTGAGGCACAAGCTGGAAGATGAAATCACCTATATGCTTTAAGCAGCTGAAGGCATGGTGTCTGTCACTAGAACTTATGACCAAGCTGCTCCTACATGTTTTTATTATAGCAGCTGGCAGAAAGTAATTTCTTTTTACATTTGTGTGGCAAGGACAGTATAACTAATCATTTCAGATTTGTTATATTATTATTTTGACAAAATATGTTGTCATAGTAATAGAAAAATGGAAAGCAAATTATGCTGGCCAATTAATTTAATATATTGAAGATATTTCAGTCCACATATTACAGGATAAATTTCAGTCATAGGACAAAACTATTACTTTGCAATGTGACCTAGCTGCTTATTGTCCAGTAGACCTTAAAGCCTTCATATTGTTCAGAACCCATCTAGCTCTAACAAGGTCTCTCTTTGTGCCACAATACCATTGACTGACTCCATCTAAAGCCTCTGCAGCGAAATGCCCCTGCATTCCTGCTGCAAGGACCTCAGCAGTAGATATGTCTTCCTTAACTACTCTAAGACACCTCAGATTTGTTGCCTTTTCTCTTTGATGTAGTCTTTGCAGAAGATAATTTCATAATAAAGGATTTTTATGCAGAAAAGGAAATATCTCTTGAATTATTTTTTTTTTACTAAGCTTGGTTATTTCTGCATTGAAGTTGTCTGCACCTTCTGGCTATACTAACCCTGAGAGTAGTCATAAGTGTTAGTCATTGTACTGAGAAAGGATGATAAACAGGTTCATCATTAGCCTTGTGATTAAATGAACTTTCTTGTCAACAGAACAAGACTGGAGCTAGTAAGGGTTGGCAATTAGAACAGGGGCCATCTGTTGGTTTTATCTGGTTTCGCGACATTAAACATGCTCTACTCTTTCTGCTGACCTTCTGAAAACATATCTATATTTCACAAATATGAACGTCGTCTTGCAGGACTTACAACAACTCTGGTGTATGCTTCTTCTGCAAAACCACTGTCTTGGTATTTGGCTTCTGTTGGGAACGTGTAGGTAGTCAACCACTGCAAAAGAGGCAGGTCTACTCTTGTACCAGTAAATAAATACTGAGGGGCGTGAATGTGTGTATCAACCAATCCTGGCATGAAGAATTCACTAGGGAAGGAAAATAAAGTTATAATAGTCCAAAATGTCTCAAAATGTTCCATGGTAAGTAGCTTTGTTTTAAACAAATCCACCAGAGCAAAATCCACCAGAGTAAATGGCAAGTACAGATTACCCTGCCTCTTTCAGCATCAGCCTATCAACTCCTACTGTAACTCTACCCATATCCCTTTTTCAGTATGAAGTAGTTGAATAATAACATTTACACAGAAACGCATATATAAACAGCTAATTGTGAGAAAAACAATATAAGAGCACGATGAATCCAATTATCTCTAATACTGATCCAGTTTAAATAGCAACAAATGCAAACTGACTTCACAGTAACTAAAATTACTCCACTGTAGAATCCACCTGAAATGGAGATGATTTGGTCACAGTCCTGCTTTCTAGTATGGATATATTCAGAATGCCTCTGACTTCCTGACCATTATATTTACAAAAATATCCCAGTTTTACTCTCTCTCTCTCTCTATCCTCTCTCTCTCTATATATATATACATATAAAACCAACGAATTTTCAGGTTTAATGGAAGAACAGCCACTGTGTCTACAAATGCAGACACGGACATCAGTTAAAAAAATCTCTCCTCAGTATCTTGACAGGAAAGGCATATTTATAATGGAACTGTAAAACTATTTGTTGTCGTAATGTTCAGGGATGAATATATTCATACAGGGATGAATATATCAACATTACTAGGAAGTTGCTATAATTGTTTTGGTTTGGGCTGAAACTCCATACTGTAAATTTCTCTCACGTCTCTCCCCTTCTCCCTGACTATTGAATGAACAGTGATTTCATCTCTTTGTAGTTCCCCTTCTTTCTGTTTTTCCTCTATTCTATAAATACCAAAAGATCTTCCTCAATCTGATCCATATTCTCAGCACCTTCCACTTTCCTCAGGCTATTTCAAGTTAAGAAAACATCTGATGACTCATATATACTATATGATTAGCCTTTCAACAAAGCATACAGATTTTTTAACAACTGATTACTAAAAGGATGCTGCAGCTAAGCCACAAGACATTTACAGTGCTGCTACAGACAAAGCATAGTCATCATGGCTAGGCTTCGCGAACAAAGATTTGGGAAGGCTCTATTCACATTTGCTACAAGCGCGCTGGTGGCTAATGAGGCCAATACGAGATAGACAAGTCCGATTACAAAAGGCACAGCAGAAAGACTCCTTATGTGGTATATTCTGCAATACACGGTTCTTTCTGCGTTGCCTTTTTTCCTCGAGAGTGATCCTGCGTGTGTTCTCAAAGGAGACAGCTGTGTTATAGATGGTGTGTCTCCAGGCCTCCTGACTGGAGGCCAGAGTAGACCAGTTATGTTGATCAATATGGCCAAGGCTGAGATGTTGTTTCAGGGAGTCCTTGTATCTTTTCTTTGGGGCTCCTCTCTTGCGGCAGCCGGTGGCAAGTTCACCATAAAGCAAGATCTTAGGGAGGCGGTGGTCCTTCTTCCTGGACATGTGCCCTGCCCAACGCAGCTGTGTTCTCAGCAACATGGCCTCAATACTTGTGACTGCTGCTTGTTCTAGAACAGATGTATTGGTCACATAATCTGACCAGTGGATGTTTAGGATTGTACGGAGGCAGCGTTGATGGAAGCGTTCTAGGAGACGCGGGTGGTGGCAGTAGATGACCCATGATTCGGAACCATACAGGAGAGTAGACAGCACAATGGCTCTGTAAACACTGACCTTTGTACTTTTCTTCAAGTGTTTATTACGCCATACTCTTTTGTGGAGTTTTCCAAAAGCTCTATATGCCTTTGCTAACCTGTTGTCTATCTCTCCGTCTATCTTACCATCTGAGGAGATGAGGCTACCTAGGTAATTAAACTGCTGGACTGATTTGAGCTCTGATTGGCCAATGGTGATGTGGGGATGATGGGGGACTTCCTGAGGTGCAGGTTGATGGAGAACTTCTGTCTTCTTTAAGCTGACTTCCAGCCCAAAGAGCTCAGCAGCATCTGCAAAGCAGGATGTTAAACGCTGCAGAGCTGCTTCTGTGTGGGTGACGAGGGCGGCGTCATCAGCATAAAGCAGCTCCCGGACAAGATGGTTTAAGGTCTTGGTGTGGGCCTTCAGTCGCCTTAGATTGATTAGACTTCCATCAGTACGGTATCAAATGTAGATACCGTCCTGATCAAGGTCTGCCGTGGCCCTTTGGAGCATCATGCTAAAAAGGACTGTGAATAGGGTAGGAGCAAGAACGCAGCCTTGTTTCACACCATTCTTAATTAAAAAGGAGACAAAGCATAGTAAGTGCACTCGAAACTATTTCACTTCACCTGAAAGCTAGGGGACTTCACTGGCTGAAGTACTCTAGGTGCAGTACAGTGAGAAATCCAAGGCTCTGTGTTTAGAAGGTTTAAATCTTCTAATTGTATTAACTTTTATTCTGAAGTGTGTCAAAGTCCAAGGCAATGAGTTTTATATCTGCAACATTGGTGTTACCTACATTTACTAAGTCTAGAGTTCCACTTTAGTTAGGCACAGCTCACTGCTAACAGAATGGATATAAAATGTAATCTCAAGAAAGAACAGCATTTACATCTGTGACTACAGAAGAGGTTATGTGTGAAAATTAAATACGGCATTTGGTTCTGCGCAGTGTACGTCAGCCAGCAAAAGTCAGCCATGTCTGCAGTCCCAAACTAAGGAATGCAAAAAAGCACACGGACTGTCCACCCTCTGAGTCCCATCTGGGACACAGGCAGCTTTGGGTAAAGAGCTCTCATGGAGCTGAAATGAAGTTTTGCCCATTGAATTGGATTTTATGTGTTCCCTGTGAAATTGTATTCACAGAGACTCACTCTACTTCCTTCAAAGAATAAACTGCATTTGCTGAAATTAATCTAAACAAAACACATACTGTTTACTCAGTTGTCTTATGTCAGATGCTTTGAAACCCCATTTCTCAGCCAGTTGCTCTTGCTGATCACTTTGTTCCAAAAACACAATCTGAAAGAAAGAAAACATAGTTAGGTACTTTAAGCCTGTATCCCACATCAGCTTTATGTAAAGGCAAAACAAGTTATATCTTAAAGCAGATTTTACGCACTTACTACAAAGGTGACAGGTTTGCATTGAAATACTTGTTCTTCCTGACTGTCAAGCATGATTTTGAAATACCTTTTCACAATCCAATGAATAACCGCACCCATCTTGTAACTTGGAATAAAACAATTAATTCACTTTCAGGTTATACCCAGGCAGATCTGCAGAGATTTCAGTGTCCACCGGCATTCCTGCAATGTAACATCATGCCAGCAGTAGTCACTTGCTGTGGAGGTGTGCAACAGCCTTATGGGAATACATTTACAGTATTCACAACCAAAGGGGGCAAATAATTTGCTTTGCCTAGCAGTAACTGACATCAAGCTAAGTATTTTCTAATTTTCTGTTTGTGTCATTAATGTTAGGGTTCTTTTTATTTCTTAAGTGCCTAGGATGACAAAAGAAATTGAGGGGAAAAATGCAGATAACATTTTCATTTTACAGAACAGGCTAAAAGGAGGCTAAGATCTTCATTTATTTCAAAACAAAACCCTACAATCTGGAACCAAACTAAAACCCATTTGACTCCTGGAGAACACTGACTGTACTGATGATCGTCGCTGTTGCCAAGTCATAATTTTAGAACATTTTCTATTTCTTTTTAAATTCCATGGTATTTTAATCTACACATGACTCTTGGCAACTGAATTCTCAACTCTTTGATTTTCTAGTCTATCAGTAATAGGGATGACAACTCTCCAAGAAACAAAGGTTGTGGAGCCTAGGCACTGCACTACAGGCTCCATGTGGGATCCAGGTTTCCTCAACACTCAACAGAGTAGAGGACCCTGACGCCTGCCTTGGCCAAAGACTGCCTAAACTGGGCTTTTAAGAATTCTTGCTATCGTGATTTGACCCTGGTCAGATGCCAGGGGCCTATTAAAACCACTCCACTACCCTCCCTCCTCCCCTCTGCATCAGTGTAGAGGAGAGAGGAAGAAAAAAACAGCAAAGGAATTTCATGAGTAGAGATAAGGATTGAGAGAAGGCAGTATAACAGGCAAAACAAACTCAGAGTGAGGATAAAACTTAAATTTATTACTTAAATTTATTACTTAAATTTATTACTTAAATTTAAGTATAAACTTAAATTTAGTAAATTTATTAATAAGAGCTAAAGAGTGAGAAATAAAACAGTCTTAAACACACTTTCCAACTACCCCTCCTTCCTTCCATCTCTCCATCCATCCCCCTGCATCAGTGCAGAAAGAGAAGTCTACCCATAGTGCAACAGTTCTTCCAAGTCTGCTGCACCTGTGGGTCACCCTTCCATGGGCTGCAGGGAGCAGCCTGCTCCACCATGGTCTTCACCACGGACTACAGGGGGGCTAAAGCTCCGAGTCCGACCCCTGTCCCATGGCGTCCTTCCCACGGGAGACAGTCCTTGATGAACCTCTCCAGCGTGAGTCCATCCACCCCTCGGGCAACAGTTTCAACCTGTTGCCCCGTGGACGACTTCCCCAAGCGGGTGCAGTTCTCCATGGGTTGAGCTGTAGCGATGTGGTCTCCCACGGGGGCCACAAGTCCTACCCGGAAAAAACTGCTCCGCTGTGGGCTTCCCCCTCCGCGAGCCACAGGTCTTCAGCAGGACTTTGATCCATTTTGGGCCTCCCACAGGGGGTCAGAGCCTCCTTCATGTATCTTCCTGCTCCAGCATGGACTCCTCCATAGGCTGCAGGAGGGTTTCTGCACTCCAGTGGTTCTTTATGGGAAGACCCCCCCCCCTCCCCTCCCCTCCCTCCCTCCAGCTGCACTGGCCTTGGTGACTGCTTGTTCTCCCAGATTGGAATTTCTTCTGTGTAACAACCTTCTCTTCCCCTGTTCTTAAATATGTTATCACAGAAGCGCATCTCATTGGCTCAGCCTTGGGCAGCAGCAGGAAATCCCTCCTGGAACTGACTATCATAGGCTTTTCATAGGACAGTGAAAGCTTCTAGTAGCTTGTAACAGAAGCCACCCTACAGCCCCTCCCTGCTACTAAAACCCAGCTATAGGTTAAACCCATGACACTTGCCTAACCACAGCTTCCGCCAGAAACCAATTCATGGTCTTCTAACTCCCTTGGTATAAGAGCTCATTCCTCTAAATTCAAGGGAATAATCTTACTGCTACCAGTATCCTTCTGCTCCTGAGAAGGTGTCCATGCTGAGGGCCTGTATCACCCTTATAACAGGAGTTTCTAAGGCAGCAGTTAAAAAAATCCCCAAAGAAACACCAAACAAAAAACAACAATAAAAAGGCAAGACCAAGTAGTTGTAAAAAAGGTAAATAGGAAGGAATTTAGGAGGAAGGGCAAGAGAAGCAAAAAAGCATTGTTTGGCCGTTATTTGCATACCATTTTTTTGTATGTGTGACCTCTTGCATAGAAATTTACCATTTTCTAATTTTTCCATAGAGGAAAAGAAGCAAAGGCAGATAAACAAGAAGTTTTTAGCTGACTAGTCTTTTAAACAAACATATGGCTTATATGATTTACATGGTCTAAAGATCAGATGTTTTACATTTTTAGTTAGAAAAACATATTAAAATCACACCTTATAAATAAATACCACAGTAGCAAAAATTGCAAGATTATAGTACTCCATTAATAATTCACTTGAAGCAGTATCTCTCTCCTTCCAAAGAGGAATACAGCCAACTTAATGAACTGTATAGCTGTAGAATGCTTGGAATAAAGAACTACTGAAATTACTGATGGACAAAAACGAAAATGTCATTCAGATACTGAAATCAAAATGGATGCAGAACGAGTGAGGTTAGATCTGCTGGGGGAAGAAGGGGAAAGAAGGAGAAAAAAAAAGATAGAGAGAAACATGAAACACCAGATGACAAATTCTGGAAACAGGCGTTGCCATGGAAAAGCAGTGGCTGTTATGTACTCTTAGGGTGCAGATAAATAAAATACTTACATCATGAAAAAAATTAAGAAAATATGATCACAAGAAATCAATTCTAAACCTGACAACTTGTCCATTGTGGTCAAATGAGACTATGGGTATATCAGCAAGACATCTATACTCCCTTCAAACAAACTTGTCAATGGAACTCCTTACTCAAGATGTTCCCCATTGCTTTATGATGAATTTGCTCTGGACACCTTTCTAAAACTGAATTCTTTAAGGTCTTTGAGGTCCTACACTTGGACATTTGCTCCAGTATTTGCTTGTGCATTCAAAGTAACCAACCTGGTGGACAGTTCTTTAAATTAGTTCTGGACCTTAACACTGTAGAAGTAAGAAAAAAAATCTACAGCAGTGTCACTACAGAGTCAAGAAGTAAGTGCACAGGCACTTCAGCTTGTCAAGAAGGAAATCGAGGAGAATAATAGACACTTTGGGAAAGGTATATTCACAAAAAACAGCATCAACAGCTGCAAAAACGATTGCTCAAACACTTCTACAAGTTCTCATATGCCACCCATGTGATGCAGCTAAAGGATCCAAAGTTAAGGAGCTGAGACCTCCCTAACTCAGGCCTTTTTTATTCCAAGTGATGCCCAAAGCTCCTCCATAAAGCATAGGTGGTCAATTAAACTGTGCATCAAAGCTGATGCAGAAAACTTTGAGTGCCTCCAAGTACCACAGTGCAAATAACTTTGATAACAAGAGAATGCAAAGTGAATGATACTGGCTGAAGGAACAGGTTTTTTTGATTCAACAGTGCCTGTGTTTCTTTATTTCTGGCTATGACATTCACAGATGAACATGGGAAGGGGTCCTTCCCTTTTTTCCCCACCCACATGCTCTCTTCCCTCCCTGCTTCTGCAGTCATTAAATGACTTTTGCATTAGAGACTTGAGGCCTATTGCTTGCCTAGTTCCCAAAACTGGAATTTGAGGCTTAATGAGAGACAAGAACACTTATTAGACTCAGTTGCTAAGGGAACCACACAACCTGCTGAGAAATGTTAAGCAATGAACTCCATATGGATGTTGGTACCTTGGTACCTTCCTCCTTGTACAGCTAACACACATCCTCTTGCTGTCCCAATCACTTAAAAAAACCCACTTAAAAATATTAACTCTTATTCCACAACTAGCAAGAGTTTTCATGACTTCATCAGGAGCTTTTAGCCTAATACTTTTTCTGTTTACTTAATACTCTACTCAGCTAAGTTAATTACTCCAACGTTTCAATGATAACTCACATTTTGCACCTGTGTCTGTTTTCTTTAGCCTAAGGAAGGCTGCTCTTTCTACTTGCTGTTCCTCAAGAATGACACTACACTGCTCTGCAAATCACTCAGTTAAACACAGTCCCTACTTTGCTAACTTGAAGATAGTTTGGGTTTTCATACCTGACAGCAGTGTTTTCCTTGCTAAACCTTCCTTTTCATCTACAGGTAAAGCAGAGAGAGCTGACATTTTATGTCCCTTGAAGGACAGGCAGGATCTCACACTGCAGTATGGGACCCAGCTGTTCACAAAAGCTGATCTGTTCACAGCGTCAGAGACCGTGCGAGATTTTTCTACGATGGAGTTAGCAACATGAGGCAGAAGAACAATATCTGTTTAGTTAAATTTACTTCTTTGGGAGTAACACTGAAGCAGGTTTGGTGTAAATTTGAATAATAAAGATAAGTAATTTTCTAACCACTATGCCCTTCTTAAAAAGCCAACTCTTTTGTGATTCCAGTGGTTGTTCTGAAAGAGATTACATTTCATGTAATAGGGAGGGAAGAGAGCATATGGGGGGGATGCCAAAACTCACTGAAATAGTAAAATGCCAAGAACTTTTAAAAAAGAGAGAATAAAATAAAAGTGATTGTTACCATACTCGGTTGGGTATTTCATTTTTGGGCAACACTGTTTTAATGGAAAATATTTGAAAGAAAAAAAAAACCACTTTCTGCCAGTTTATGCAAGGAAAACAGTATACTGTGAATCCTTGTTCCCTAAGAGAAGAGAGTGAGAGCACAGATCCCTACACATAGCTTCCTAAGGTATCTGTTTTTCAAGAAAATCACTTCGAAGTCTTGATTTCCTATGGATGCTGTGAAGAGACACTTTAATGGAAATTGCCATTAGAGAGAGTGGGATGGGGTATGACTTTCTGTCTTCTGCACCTGAGTTACACCAACTAAATCCTTTTTTCATTCAGCTCTATTGTTTTTAGTGGACACCAGCCATATATAATTACGTAATTCCCCTCCTGTACATCAAAACACAGATTCTCACAGACTTTGATACACCTTGCACCAGGCATCTATAAAAGATGATCCTCAACATCTATAAAAGATGCCTGGAAACAGGTCCTCACAGACATGTGTGAATAGAGAAAATAAACACTGTTAGGTCTTAAGATGTGCTTTGCACAGATTTCAAATGTTACTGAAGCCTGACACAGTGAAGCCTGTTATTTAGCAACAAGAAAGAAAATTTTACATAGGGTGCCCATATATGTTATGGAGTCTATAAGAAATCACTAATCTACCTACACGACCTGCACTGTGAAACTGAGTTTCAAGTGTGATGCTGTTAAGGGAATGACACAGCTTCCCTGCCAGACTCGATCTTGCATTATCAGTAAGTGCAATGCTTTTTTAAAGCTTGGCTTGTACCACTAACATCCCCAACTCTTTATGGGTATTGCCATGGGATTTTTTGCCAAGAAAATAAAAAAGCTCCACTCGGAAGGCTGTGCAGGGGGCACACGGCAATTACCCACAATCACTGTTTAGACACTTTGAGAATGAAAAACCTGCTTCTGAAACTGAAAGAAAACACAGAATCTGAAAGCATGTCCAGACGAGGCGCGCTGCTTTCCTGGGAACACGCAGCACACCTTAAAAACTGATTTCGGCTAACTGCAGACTCGTGCTGAGGGGACGCTCCATCTCGGTTACCTCCGGCTCCTGCAAGTGCGAAATCACTTCGCGGCGCTTTCCCCGACGGACACGAGTGCGAAAATTTTCCGCTTTCTCACCACAGACCGGCGGAGCCAGCCCTGACCCTCGCCACCCCCGGACGTGGACTCGGGGCTGAAAGGGGTTATTTCCACCGCCCCTCGCGGACCCTTGGGGAGCGCAGGACTCCCAAGGACCAGCGCACCGACGGAGAGAAGCGGGGTAGCCCCGAGGGGTTCACCGGGCACCCCCCGCGCCCCCCGCCGCCCGCACCGGACCGGCGGCACTCGCCCGAGTCCCCACTCACAGTCCCGTCATCGTCCACCCCCAGAAGGTGTCCGTGGAGGATCTCCATGGGTACGGAGGCGCTGGAGTGCACGAAGGTCCCCTTGAAGACGTGGGCGAGCGGCGGGCGCTGCGGGGAGCCCATGGCGGCGGGCTGGGCGGGCGGCGCTGCGAGCTGCCACCAGCGGGCTGCCGCCCTCGGTGTCTCCCGGTGCCGCCGGCGGCTTCCTGGAGCTGTCACCATTTCCCCACCCCCTGGTGACTTTCTCTTCGGGGAGTGGTTTCGACGAAGGGAGGGCGGGAGGTGCCCGCGGGCAGTGCGAGGGGTGCCCCGAACCCGGAACCCTCCGCCTCCCCGACGCTGATCCCCTCTCCGAGGGATGGGTCCTCCCCCGAGCAAGGGTCGCGCAAGCCCGGAACAATGCCCGGCGTGTTTTGGGGTCCCAGTTACTCCCTGGGAAGCGGTGGGTAAGCCGACAAGGTGTCTGTTAATTCTTTACTAGTGTCTGGCAACTCACTTTTGCAAACAACATGAAGGTTGTAACCACTTGCAAAAGTTTCATTTACAGTAGGTTGGGTTTGTAGGTTGGAAAAGACCTTTAAGATCTTCAAGTCTCAGGCAGATTCCTCGGTCCTCAACCTCTGTGCGAGGCATGTTTGTAGGGCATAGGAGTACAAAACAGACGCCAGCTGAAGTACCAGAACTACCAGAAATAGGCAGCCTCATTCAGTGAAGATGATCTACAGAAAAAGAGAGAGCAACTTCAGGAAAATGAAAGACAGGGAAAAACTAATTTTGTTAACTCAGAGAACTGTGTTCCCAGAACCATATTCCCTCCAGCAACCTAAGTCAAAGTATATCATGAACACATGCTAAGAGGATCACTATTGAAAATATTGGGATAAAACTTCAGAGACAGAATGATGTATACCAAGGATAACACCATGAATGTCCTCTGAATTCCTGTTTGAAGACACCCTTATTCATCAGCTTGTCAAGTTATGAATGAACTTGGCACCAAGGGCACTGACACTATTGCTCTCAAGGCTACATTGCAAAGTTTGTCATTACATGGTTTATCATTAAAAGACCTTTGCACTTCCCACTGTGCTGACACTATACAAATGCATAGCAGATTATCCTTCCGACAAACTCTCCGGATTAGTGCTGGTAGGAGAGAGAAACACACTGGGAAATCACAGAATAAATTTAATTTTGATCTGCTATGGACAAGTCACCAGCCTTTAACTTGCCTCCCTTCTATAAGAATATGTTAGGTTGCTGAGAATGAAGTTTAAAAAAAATTGTATTTACTGATATCAATGGAATGTCCTTACCTGGATTTTGAGATCAGCTTAATCGGGCAATAAAGGGTGTTCAGAATAAAACAAACATGTGAAAGTGCCTTTTACATACTTATATTGGCAATTGTTGTGATAGGTCTTGAAGTTTAAGAAGACTTTAAAAATAATATCCCAAGATAAAATTGAGTGTTTTAAGACACAAGGCAGTTTTTTGTTGTATTTCTATCTTCTTTGACATGAGAATCTAGCACACAAAAAAATTCATAAATTGGTCTTGCAGGTTAATCTAGTTTGGAGAAGAAGCAGACGTAAGAATCTTTCATGCAGTTTAGTTTGCTAACAGTAATCCGGCTTCCTTGAAGAACAGAATAATAAATGTTTAAAAATAGAACCAAAAGTCTTCTAAATTAGCACTTGCAAAATCCCTCTTCCAAAATTGTTTCTCAGGGTGATGTTATTGTGTTTCTTAAGGCTGCAGCTGAAATGAGCTGTATTCCAAGCTGTTAGTCCAGGTGAGGAAAATTGGTTTTTGCTGTAGGAAGGATAAATAGTGAGAGAGAGGCTGTTTTTGCTATTGAATAATAAAGGTAGAGGGGGTGAAGATGAGAAATAGGGTGAAGGGACCAAGCCCTGCAGAGGTACATTCACTTGCTCTTTCTGTGAAGAGAGGAGTGAAAACAACTTTCCCCAGAAATAGCTGCAGCTCCATACAGCTTGCCTTTGCCCTGTTGGCAGCAACTAGTTTGATTTTCCTCTCCAGTGTGCTGCCCTAGGACAGCTGTGTGCTTCACTTAACGCAAATCAGGCCACACACAGCTTTTGGTTCAGAATCCCAAGCTCTTGTGCTGGCTGCTACCCAGACTCACGTACACTGCTGTCCAAAATAATATTCAGCAGAGCTCACAGTTCCCAAGAAACCTTTTGGTTGTGTTCAGTAGGGAAGTGGGCTGCTCTCGAGAATCTCACGCTTCTTCAACTCTGGTTTTCCATTGAAAGCCTCAGAGATTCCCTCCAGCTTCCTTACAAAAAGAATGATAGTCCAGTGATTTCAGTGAGATATAATCCAGAGAGTATTTATTCAAGAGAAGAAAATAAAAAAACATTTGCAGTTTCTTCCTTCAGCGCTTTTGGTGGAGAAATGTCAATAACAAACATTGTTAATGATAATTTGTTTCTGTTACTGGGTTCCAAACACTCTGAAGTTGTATAGTTTCACTGTCAAAAGAACTAGAGGTCTCTTCTGCTTTTTCCAGCTGTCACATGGGAGAGCATGGAAGTCGTGGAAGAGTGCTAACACCCTTCTCTCCTCCCAGAATTTTTTTGGTTTTTAGTTTGCAACAGTTACACATGCATGCCCTAGATACTTGCATGACTCAGGGTGAGACCTTGGCCAAGTATGAAAAACTGAGTCATTCTTCCAGAATATTGTAAGAATCTTACACTGATGTATGTTTAGTTTTGCTGGGATATACTGGGCCAGGCACTTCACCTTTTGGGATAGAAATGTAGTGCTCAGTTGTGACTGTTACATAGTAATTAACTTAACGAGTGAGTGAAATACCATGTTTTTTCTTTTTTTTTTTTTTTAATTGGTTAAGAGTCTGAAGAGAGAGATTTACCTTCTTTAAAATTATGCTTTTTTAAATAGCATTCAAAATAAATCTTAACTTTCAAAACTCTTTGAAATTATCATGTATGTGTTAAGACATTCAGTAATTAATAATGTGTAATTTGTTCTGATGCTGTTTTTAAAAAAAATCTGCCTCACTATTCACTAGCTTATCAGAGTCTCTGTGTCTTCTAAATTATTGACTTCTGAGCAATTATAGAAATGACTCCTTAGTTGAGTCCTGAAGCCAAACGTATTTCAGATCAGAATAATCAGTCAATATACTTCCAGGAGGACAGGGAAGATTTTAACAGGATTAGAGTGCCTTCATTCTCCTTAACACTTCCAGTTTCTGATCTTTTTCTCATTTGTCACACTAAACAAATGAATAATTCAATTACTTGTTTCAAAGTTTCAGGGCACCTAAGCTGATCCTCCAACATCTGAGAAATAAAAAGAAGAAACCTGCTTCTCTCCACTGCTTTCAAAAAGTAGTTGATGGGGTATTTGCTACCAGCCAAAAACACCTGTTTTCAAGAGTCTGTTGAGGCCAGTGCCTGTGGAGCCTGAGCACCAGATCACAAAAATTATTATTATTCTGATCTAGCAATGAATGTTATTATAGCATTTATTATGAAAAATGTACCTTGTCTATAATTTGTAACATAGCAACTAGGTAAATGGATTGAAAAAACACAGTTTACTTATCTGCTATTAAGTGATTTTTTTTTTCTGTATAAGAAAGAGCGGATTATGTGGCTCATACTTGGGATTACTCAGAAAAAAAAATTAAGCGTGATTTAAATATCTCTTCTCAAGTCTGAAATTAAGTTGAGAGCTAGGTATTAATCCAGCATAGGCTACTTCAGACACCTCATTTTCCCACAAACATTTATGTAATCAGAATATGTTTATATTACTTAATTTTTCCAACTCCATCTAAAACTGAAAATTGACCCACCCAAAAAGAGTAAGAAGCAATGACCACACACACAACTCCATGTCATTTACCACCATAGGTATTCACTCTGCAGGTCCCAGACAGAGCTTTCAGCCTTTGATATCCAATTCTAGAACGGCTTGGGAAGCCAAGCCTCAAACACTGCAAGGGGAAGCTGGAGTTACCTTCTGATGCTTCTACCTCCAAAAGGGGCCATAGTACTGTCATAAAATATCCCATAATTAGAATTTAGAGATGGTGTGTCCTACTTATTCACTGATACATAATTAACTGAAACACAGATTGGCCGATGTTAGTTCTAACACTTCTGAAATTTTTCTCTTTTACTGCCAAGGCTTGTTCATAACGGGAATTGTAGTAACTAATCTAGTAAAGTTCTTTAGAAGAGCCAGGAAATATACAAATATCAGTAAAAGTCATCTGTCACTAGAAGCACTAGCATGAATGGGTGAAATATGTCAAAAGATTTTGATGGCAAACTTCTTTCTGTTTTCCACAAGACACACAGGATCAATCAACACAGTTGCTAGACTTAACCTCTGATCATGTTAAAAGAAACCAGAATGGAATTTGGGTGTCTGCTCTTGTTAACAGGGAAAACAAATTGGACATGACTTCCTGTTCCCTGAGACCTTTCACTGACAAAACTTGATCTGTGGAATTACATTGCATGGTGAATGCAACACACTTAATATAATGAGATCAGCCGATCTCTGGTCATGGCAACATTATAAACCATTCTACGTAACTGTTCAAAAGTCACTCTCTTGCTAGTCTCATTTTCATGCTTAAAACCAATAAAAAGTAATATTCTTTATATACTCTTAAGTGACTGGTGATTTACCTAACTTTGCAATGCTAACAGAACATAAAACACTTCAGACATGTAAACATAAATAAATTGTCATAAGGAGTTCAAGTGAGTAGTTACTAATTTCCCATTTATTGCTGTCCACAAGTGAACACTTTTCCTGCTTTATTTAGGAGCAAATTCCAGTAATACTGGAATTATTTTCTTCTTAAGTGATTTGTGAACTCTGAACCATGATGACTAATCTAATTTAAAAATTTAATTAATAACAGAGGCATCCAAACATACTTCTGTAAAATCACTTAATAATTGCAATGTATCAACCAGCAATTGCATTTCTAAGCTGTTCAAAGGATCTCTTCATGTGTGCCAGTGTTCAGTATAGTAGTAAAATTGTCATGAAAGGTTTCATGATCATGTTGGAGACAGTCTACTAGAAATATAAAATTAATAACACAGTATTATTATTTCATCACTTTATTCCAGAAGGTAATAAAACATAAATGTATAAACTGTGAGAATTAAAAAAAAAAATTAAAAATTAAAA